AGGGGTTAAATGAATTATTAGATCATTGATCTAGCGAGTCTAATGATAAGTATAAATAAGCCACAAATTCAAGAATGGAATTTGTGCTTTTCTTTCGCTGCTTTTCAAAGTTGCCCGAAACCTTATTTTCTGGCTAATCGAAAGGTTCTTTAGCACATTTCAAGTCTAATACCCATTTATAGCAAAGATCTACTATTAACCATGGCTCCCGGTAAAGCCCATAAACAGAATACAGAAGCACAGGAACCGGTGGACGAAGCTGAAGCATGTCGGAGTGATGTATGCCGTTCGCACATGTCAGTGGAAACATTAAAGAACCTTTGCTCTCAGTTGAACTTGAGCACAGAAGGGAACAAGGCCGACCTGATAGAACGCCTCACGTGTGTCGGTGATATGACCCAACTACTACTAGGTCATTTAAGGGAAAGTGGAGAAAATATAGAAGGCGGGGTATTTGAGGACACTCAGGATGAGGATGAAGCCATGCAGGGAGATATGTTTCAGGAAGAATGCCCATCTTTCGATAGGTCACTTCAGCCATTGGGTGAGGAAGAGTCACGTGTCAAGAGGACCAAAAAAGCAGGGAAGGAGTTCAAGGACACATCTGACATAAAAACATTGTTGAGAGAAATTAAACATTTGCGTGAGGATGTTAATATCATTTCAGGACGAATTGAATCATCAAAGGTGAGAGCTGAGATCCATAAAAACTGGCCTGATATAAAGTTTGAGAGGTCAAGAGATCAGTTTGAATATAATGTACTGTGTGCGATTGGACATGATTTAGATTTGGCATTAAGTGCCTCAACAGAGGATAAGGCAATTCAACACATTGAGGATGCAAGAGTGAAAACACTTGATAGAACGGTAGTCCTGAATGTTGCAAGAGAATATGGTTAGGAAGTAGCAGTTGAGCTACCGCAATCAAAAAATGAAGGTTTATCAATATATGGTGAAACGATAGAACGTGTGAGACAAGTAGCAAACATAAAACAACAGAGTAAGAGAAAGTATTCGAGTGAGGGGCGGTTTTTTCGGGGTTCCGAATTTTATGATAATTCAAGGTCAAAACATGGAAGACAAGAGCCTTATTACTCAGAAGGAGGGAAAATAGGCCCCATATGGCAGAAAGAGAAAGAAATAATGCCTTCTCATGCTACAACTGTGATGGATTGGGGCACTATGCAAATAATTGTTCCTCAAGATCGGACAGACGCCCATTTGGAAGAAAGGCAAGCCAATCTCAGGAGACATCGGGATATACTGCACAAAGCAGAAACTCAAGCTAACTACTCTCGGGCCCCCATGAATTCGGTAGTAGGAAATTTGAACAAACTATCGTCAGTAGTGTATTGGAAAGAAAAGATAAAGGCATCACCCCTGGTTATAAGTTGGCTCGAATTTGGGATTCCACTATTCCCAAAAGGCTTACTTCACTTAGCATTACAAGATACCTCAAGGCAATATTATTTCATCCAAGAACAGGAAAGGTGGTTAGAACATGAACTAACATGATTAGTAATGGAATGAGCAATAGTCAAAGTTGGAGATGGGCCTGAACGGCCAGATTGTCTGTTGGAAATAAGTCCTATATTTGTAATACCAAAGCCAGGACCGAAAAAATGGAGACTTATTATAGATTTGAGAAGGTTGAACAGGACACTACCCAAAAAGTCTTTTCGCTTCGAAGGGTTAAAGACCTTTATTTGAACAGTAGGAAAAAACTGGTGGGTTATTACATTGGACCTCAAAGATGGATACCACCATCTTCTGATGACAGAAAAGGCCCAGAAGTTGCTGGGTTTCAGGTTCAGAGAGGAATGGTTTCACTACCGGGTGCTGCTGTTTGGCCTAAGCCAGGCAGTATGGGCTTTTGCAAAAGTAATGAGGGCCTTAATCGGTCACTGGCGATCAATAGGCATCTACTGTGGAAACCACGTAGATGACATCTGGATTGCCCATCCAAATATTGAAGTCTTAAGGTATCAAAGAGACCATATAATCGAACCAGACTTAAAGTTGGGAGGGTTGGTCTTAACAAAGAAAGGAAGTTGGAAACCTACCCAAGAACCCAAGTTTTATGGGCTAATCATAAATACAGTGCAAGCATTAGTAATAATACCAGACGAAAAGGTAAAAACAGCAAGACAAGCACTGAAACATTTAGCAGCTCAAAAGGAGGTCACTGCTCGATCTCTGGCCTCAGTAACGGGCTCATTAATGAGTTTAAGCAGAGCCTTTGCTCTAGCGAAAGTGCGCTGCCTGGAATTTTACAGCTTGATTGATGCAATGCATCACAACCCTTGGGAGTGAGATCAAAAAATAAAACTATCAATGAGAGCAAAAGAGGATGCAATATGGCTGTATCAAAACTTGGAAAAGAAAAATAGTTGCCCGGCATGGAAACCTTCACACATACTTCCACTATTTGTAGACGCCTCAAAGACTGGTTGGTCGGCAACACTCTTTGCATACAGAGCATTCGGAAACTGGAGACAAAGATACCAGCATATAGACATAGCAAAGCTGGAATCTGAAGCAACTTTGTTGGGACTATGATCGTTTGGGAAAGATCTAATCCACCGTTGGGTTACAGTGTTCATAGACAACAAGGTTGTAAGGAAAACAATGGAATTAGGGGGAAAAACTCCATGGCAAAAGGAGTACATGAGAAAGGTTTGGAACTTTTGCGACGAAATGGACATTTGGATATATGAGTTCCGTTGGATCCCAAATGCAAAAAATCCAGCAGACGAGCTCACAAGATACTTCGATGAGTCAGACTGGAAATTAAAAAAGGCTGTTTTCAAGCTATTAGATCAAATGTGAGGCCCACACACCATAGACCGAATGGCAAGCGAGGATTCAATGCACCTTACAAGATTCAACTCATGATGGCATTGTCCAACCACAGAAGCCGTCGATTGTTTTACTCAAAACTGGAAAGGAGAAATAAATTATGTCTGTGCACCTTTAGGCCAATTGGACTGTGTGTTTCATCATGTAATGGAATGTCAAGCAACAACAACAATTATCGTACCAATCTGGACTTCAGCTCCTTGGTGGCCGATTATGTTGCATCACCTACATCGGGAGATAGTACTTCCAAATTCAGAAGAAATTTTCCTTCCAAGCCCAAATGGATCAATAGAGCCATTGAACAACCGAAATTGGAAGTTTATGGCAATACAAATGATTTTCTAAATGGGCTATTAGTACAGGCGCATAATGTTCTGTTACCAAGATCATCATATGACCATAAATTAAAGGCAATCTGGGGAGATTTCATTGACTTTTGTAACGCATACAAGCTAGTTGCCTTACCAGCATCTCAAGAAAGTTTATTAGCATACCTAATTTGGTCAGATATACGTGGAAGAACATTAAAACCTTCTCTAGTACTAACAGCGATATCAAACCAACACAATGCACAAAACCTACCAGACCCCACAAAATGTTATAAAGTAAAACAGCTAGCAAAGTTGTTAACCAGACTAGCGGCAAATGATAAGGAAACCACATGGCCATGTGACCCATTGATGGTCGAGGCATTAAGAAATTATGTAAATGATCCACCAATAATGGCAGATTATAGAATATGGGCACGAGATTGTGCATTAGTTGCAATTGGCTTGCGCACAATGCGTAGAGCAAGTGAACTAGCCACCCTTTCTTTAAGTGATTTTAGGGAGGAGAATGGTCTTTTATGGATTCACATAAATCGGTCAAAAACGGATCAACAAGGTAATGGCAAATTCATTCCAATAGAACCTACAAACTCTAGCATTTGTCCAGTTCGGCTGTGGAAAAAATACTTAGATATTAGAGGAAAGTCAGGAAAGTGGGCATTTCCATCAGTAAAAAAAAGAAAGATTAACGGTAGGGGCTGTGAGCTCAATTGTCAAATGAATTGCAAGTCATGCAGGATTGAAAGGGAGATATTCAAGTCACAGTTTACGTATAGATGGAGCGACAGCAGCAATGAAAGCAGGACTTTCATTACCACAAATAATGGCCATAGGGGGCTGGGTTTCGAAGTCAGTGTTACTGTATCTAAGAACTATTGCCACAACGCAAATTAACACGACAGCAAAGATGGGGTTTTAGTTATTTATTATATCACGATGCTCTTTAAATTCCCATAGTTTTCTACGTATTGTATCTTTGAATTAATTGAATTAAGAAATTTAATACTAAATATGGTACAGTTTACAATGGTAATCCGAGCGAGAAT